GCTGTTTGGCCAAAGCTTTGTACGAGCTGCTTTCCGCTACAGCATGTATAAGCTACTCATGTGACAGTTGTTTGTTTCTCGCTGAACCTGGTTTCATTTTTTTCATATATTTATTATAATAGGACTTACGGAGGATAAGAAGAAATAATATCACAGTCATTATAAAGGTGAGTGAATAAGCAACACTCATCTTATTTGTATCTTAGGCAGTATCCCAGAGTTGTTTTACAAGCTGTTTGGCCAAAAGCTTTGTACGAGCTGCTTTCCGCTACAGAATGTGTAAGCTACTCATGTGACAGTTGTTTATTTCTCACTGAACCTGGTTTCATTTTTTTTTCGTATATTTATTATAATAGGACTTACGGATGGCTACAAGAATAATATCACGTTCGCCATAAAGGTGAGTTAAAGCAGCAACACTCGTCTTATTTACATCTTAGGCTGTATTCCAGAGTTGTTTTTATAAACTGCGTGCGTCACGGCTTTGTACAAGCTGCTTTCCGTTACAGCTTCCGTATGTCAATTGTTAGTATTTTCTCGCTAAACTCTATTTCATTTTTTTCATATATCTGTAGTAGCACTTATATTATTTGCGGAGGACAAGAAAAAATAATATAGTTGTTATAAAGGTGAGTTAATGAGCAAGGTATCTTAGGCTGTATCCCGGAGTTGTCAACAAACTGTTTGCACCGCAGCTTTGTTTTCGTTTTAATACGGGCTGCTTTGCTATACAGTTTTATAAGCCACTTACATTAAGTGTGTGTTGAATTTTATTCCGATTCATTGGTTGATGGTTATCGTGAAAGTTCCCTGATATCGTTGTGTCCGAAGCGTTCGTGAGAGTTGGTAAGCGAGAATTGAAATTTCAGGGTGTAGTGTTTGTTCCATTGTTAATTTAATTTTGGAAGATACTGTACAATATCCTAATGTTAACCGAAATATAATATTTTTTATGTCATACGCTGGTAGACTCGAATTTATTGTTGATTTCTCAATCTAATTTTTTTGATGTATTTATATAACTCATCAAAATTTGTCGACCGTTATTCTATCCTTTGTTCTAAGGAACTGGAAGACTTTGATGTTAATGAAGATCATAAACTTTAAAATATCCTAGAACCGCTTAGATATATTTAAATTGTGCAAGTTCTTCAATATTATTATCAGTTTTCGATCTCGAATTTCTTTTTTCAACTTGCTCTTTTAACTTTGAGAATATATTCTATAATGTAACCGAAAATACCGACTGCCAGGATAATAAACGAAACATTAATTAAATGCCATAACATTTGTAATGAGTCCCAAATATCTTCACCCATGCGATAATTGTCACCACCATTGTCTTTTTTATTCAATACAGATTCTTCTTTCAAATCAAGAAGTAGATTCAATGCATCCGACTTTAATTTTTAAAGTCGTGACCATTATGTGTTCGTTGATCAAGAGGTTGACGAATAAATTTTTCATAAGATCCATGCCAAGTTTCACGAGATTGATTTAACATTTGGTATGGTAAGTGAAAAAGTATATGAACGCTTCTATAACTGAAAATTCCTTCATCTGAACATCATGAAAATTCAATTCTTCTGTGGTATTTCCTTTTTTCCTGAATTTGCAAGGGAATTGAAATAAGCCAGTATAAAATAGCAGCGCCTTCCAACACTCAAATCATACATTAAATCTGTTGAACTTATTTGCATATGTGGATAAAAGTAAAGTGTTATTGTATCCAAGTAGTTTCCAGCGTATTATTGCCATTAACAAAAATTTTCTCTTTACGAATAAAGGATTTACGTGTTTGGTCAAATATGTCACCTTATTTCCTATGATGTTCCATTTAACCTTGCTTTTGACAGAGACCTCCGATGAGAAGTAAAAACAGAATACATGTAAAAAGAGTGAGCATTACGAGAATTTTTCAATAATCTCGAGGCTTCAAAATCTTTGTTAATTTTTGAATAGCATAGTTAATTGAGCTTTACGATTTTTTATTAATACATGTAAATGGTTTTCTAACACCCAACGCCATGATAATGAAATAAGAGAATAAAGTGACAGGTAGCTACTTATACATACGATCGAAAACACCATTAACTATTCAATCCTAGGCTTCAAATAAACCTTCGTATCAGCACAGTGGAAAATAAAATCATAATAAGTTTGTATCGGTTTATCCAATTTAACCTCGTAATTACAATACAACAGAATCAGTAGCATCTTTACAAAAGCGAGTCCGATATTTCTCGCAGGGCAAATGTGTAGTCCACCACCATGGATAAAATGCTTTTTTTGATGTTTTTTTCCGTCACTACCATCATTGATAAACATTTCTGGTATAAATTTTTTGGGGTCGGTAAAGTATTTTTCGTTTCGATGAGGTGCTTAGTAATTCACCACGAATTGTGTGTCGGGTTTCCATCGAAGTGGCTTACTTTCATACCATACAGCCTCGATATATTTGAATTCGTTCAAATCATCGTGACAACACGATTCAAATTATCCGAAAAAACCGAATTAATCTCGGTTCTAATTTTTGCTTCCACTTCTGGTTATCTACCGACATATTCAACAATAAATATGACAGTCTGATTTTATTAAAGAATAATTAGTTAGAAATTCTGCAACAGATAAAAGATGACCATAAAAATGCATGTACACAAAATGTCAGTTGATGCAGCAAAAGACTCATCTGTGTTGCATCATCAGTCAAAGGTTTAAATTATTCTGTATTTGCTGCGATTAACAAATTCATTATATCTGGTTTTAATAGCGGCGTATTTTCTACTTTTTTTCGTTCCTGAACGAGTTCACACTGTATTCTCCTTAATTGATCGTGGGCTTTAAGATGCCCCTTATTTTGCTTCAATAAATTGTATGTCTCAACCACGAGTGTGTGGTAAGCAAGAAAAATATCGCTGCAAATGCATTTTCAAATCCTTTGACAATTTTTTTCAGTCATATACGAATCTTTAGTCTCAATATCGATTTTCTTTCCAGTAGAAAGAATTTAGCCATGAAATGAAACTTCTTTCCAGTTGCATTAAAAAAAATAATATCCGATGCAAACAGAACGGCCTAAGCATTCAAGTCCAAAACACAATCTGAACCCAATTCCTTCCAATGATGTTGCATTCCTTGAAAAATTATTGCATCATTTCAAATGTTCCATGAAGATACGAAGGATTCGTCACCGCATAATCAAATACTTCGATTAAATCGCCAACTTGATTAAATGTAATCCCAGTATCAGTTCCCCCATGCTTCCAAACCTTCATGATACGCATAACGAATAATGAAATTACCTTTTGCGGATGGAACATTAAGTTGTTCAATTAATTCTGCACTGCTTAGTACTATCTGACGTTGTAGACCGACCCAGATTTCGAAAATTTCACCATGGATTTTAGCTAAATCGTAAATCCATTTAGCCAAATTGCTACTGGGTTTTTAATATAGATTACCGACAATTGGTAATGGAAATGGACCTGGAAGAGGATTATCACGGGTATAGTATTCATAATAGAAAAGTGAAATATAAATGATTATAGTAACGAATAGAATAGTAATCCAATCGCCGAGACTTAGTGATGTGAGAAAATTTACTGAAAATTTCATTTTAAAAATTCGTATCGTTTAAAGAATAATTACGCAATTTATGCATGTGAATTTCAAAAAAAAAGGATATAAATACATTTACATGCACTGGCAGAATCGCATGATCTTTCAGATTTTGTTCGTTTAATCCAAAGACTTTATTCGTATTATTCGAGACATGAGGTCACGTCGAATGGAAATAAATGAAACATATTATTATTGGGCCGAGTGCAATAGAAACAATGTAAATTGTATTGAAATTCTAACATAATTTACACTGTTTCTATGCACTCGGCCCATATGTGATAACTGCATTGTTTTACAATTTATCCCTCTGAGTGAAAAATCTTCAAATCTGAAACCTTTGGTTTAATTTTGCTTTGCTAAATTGCATGGAGATCATTCCAACATAAATTTTCTTATGCATACAGTACATGTATAAAGAAATACAAAAAGATTGTGAAATGTTGATTTTATATTTCTTCAACGGTAAATTGTTCAGTTGACTTTATAATATTTCGCTCGTAATGGTGCTGTTGACAATCGCAAGAAAGCTTCGTGATTAAATCTCTACTACCAAATATTGGATAACAAGATGTGTATTGTGACTAAACACTGATTGCAATTGTAATTATCTTCTTGACAATGGTAACATTTATACATGTTTGAGTCCACTATATAAATGCGTTTATATCATTTGGGACGTCGTTCGTTTGGGATTTTGATAATTCGGGACACCGTTCTTTTGAGATTTCGTTTGTTGGGATATGAATTGTCGGAATTGTGTTTGTCGGGTTTCGTTCCAGATCCATTATATATATGTAGTAAAATTGGGTTTACGTTTTTTTTAACGCATATATATTCAAAATAAAATCAAGATCACGTGAAACCCGAGAATTGCCCTGTTTTACCAAGAAAGTTCTCGGTATGTTTGAACATAGATGTTCGCACAACTTAATAAAATTCGTTGACTATTTTGTAAAATGCAAACACGATCACATGAAAACTCATCTTTCAGGGGGTTAGTTTATTGACACAGAAAAATAAGTGTTTAAAACATAGCATGGCCACTAAAAAAATTTAAACAGAAAGAGACAAGACATGTGATATCATCATTACCTGTAATCCTCATAAATTATAAAGTGGAACGTGATGCTCTTTGAAATCCATCAATGAAGCTGAGGAAACTTTGAAATGAGGTTAGGTTTTTAGTAATCGAAGTGATCCGTTTGTTAGAGTCAGGAGCATAATAGAAATAATGTTAAGTCTCCCGATCTGTTGAAGTCTTGTTCAATCTGCATACTGGAATACAATATAATATCCTTTAATCAAGTCCTCCTATAACATTTCACCACTACTTGTATCGGCTGAATGGCACATTAATGATGCTAGCCTTCTCTCATCAGTACAATTGAAACCCAGCAATTTATTCAAGATGGATCAATTCATGCAGCGATCATTAATATTTGTGGCACGCGCTGTAAATTCCCACTCTCTAATTCTCTATGGTTCAGCCCAGTACAGTAATTTAACCATTTGGACTTCGTAATAATAGGATAGTTTCTAGTATAGCTCTTTACCCAGTTGTATGAAACATAGACTGAAGTCAAGCTATAAAGTAATTGAAACAGTATTACCTCTTGCTTGTATTATTGAAATTCGGGTCTTGTCGCTTTTACCAGAAGAAGTCGTTATTGTGTTCCCCTTCGTAGAAGAGTCTAGCCGTAAAGAGACTCTGTTCAATCATACATCTGGTGACTCTGAACTTTGACCCGTAAAACATAAGAAATCTATAGTTAAAATTATCATGTAATCACCTTCCCCTTTTCCCATCATTCTTTAAATAAACCAAAACACTCGCCTTTACCGCCTACAGTTACTGGCACAATACCTTAAAAATTAGTAAAGAAATCCTCAGACACCAAATAAACTTCCACAAACCTATTAAACTCATCCTTCTTTGAAATCCAATAAACCGGATTAATATCGATATATCTTAAACGAAACGAAAAAATATTTTACTGCAATCTGAATTTATTTTTAAAAACTTGATTGTTTTAGGAACATAAAAAATTTCCACTTTAGAAAATGTTCATTTTTTTTACCTCGTTTATAAACTCTGGAATAATTTGTAATGATTTCAACGCAACTTCAGTTTCTATACTTTGTTGGAATTTATTTCTTCATGATCACAGTTTCCAGGTTGCTTTATAGATTGTCTCAAAACCTCTTTTTGCAAGATATTCAACGTTGGTAAATCTTTCAAAAGGAGTCTATTCTTAATTAATTTCGTTATTAGAAGATTCAAATATATAAATTCGTTTATGATATTTGAAACATCCAGAGCGGTAGCATTTTTTTGTCGTACAGTTACTATAGTCATGAATATCAATATAGTAAAACAAACGAGAGATATTCGTTATACATGTACATCGGACTAGTTCCGTCATCCAGAGGTTCAACAGCTCTGAGAACAGCGATGACTATCTACAGTACAACGGCAAAATAATACCCCGGTTCTGGGAATGTCTAGTTACGTCACGGCAGATGTCACTTGCATAGCTTGGAGGTTACACCGATCCTGGCAAAATTCGAAATAAGCATTAAGATTGATTTTGAGTTCAAGGTTAGGGTCCGAGTTAGTTTTTTCATTTTCACTTTGTGTTGGATTGTTTTGTCGGGTTGATCAAAAAACCTGGCACACATTCAACGTCACTATATACGTCTTAACGCAGCGGATAACGATAATAAACAAGCGCGTAAAATCGATAATAAATAAATTTACTGTATTGATTCATGAGAGGATCGTGAAGAATCTTAAGCGTCGTTTGTCGTGAGTTTCTCCAAGTCTTGACTCTGCGTTAAATAAGACTTGGTTCTGACTTGTGTGCACTTCCTTCATCAGTGGTTGCTATTACTAAGATAGAAGGCGAGTCCTTCAAGGTTTCTACGAGTTTCTAGCTAATTCTCATAGATCGTAATATTCCAAGGATTTTGCTCTGGTGATTCCTAATTGGAATGAGGGTTCGAATCCTTCCAAAATCCATAGGGAAAAAAAATCAAATGATCGATCTCAATTTACAAATTCTTTTTTTATCACTGGGTCGCGAAATACCATGACACAAAATTTTTAATACGAAACTTTATCGCGAACTGGCAATATTTTATTTAAAATTAGAATTTTTTTATTCTTACATTATGTATCCACAGTGTGCTATTACGAACTGAATTAGAAATAATCCAATTCCAATTGAAAAAGATGTCTTATTATTGTTATGCGAAAAATAACATGTCGATATGCTTATTCTCTTTTAGGTATAAAAATTTCCTGAAGCTAAACAAATAACTTAATGAAATAAACATCTCACCCTATTCTGTACTAGCGAATCTTTATGCTCTTCAACCCGCTGAAACTTTTGGAGCGGAAATCGTTTCCTTTGGTGATGGGGAAGCGTTCCTACAAAATAACTAAAAAAAATAAGCAAATGTCATCATTACCAATAAGGTTAACCTCCCGGAGTCGAGTCGAACTCGGGCGTGCTACCGAGCCAAACACGGGTAAGCACAATCATGATCACGTTTTTGATGATTCTGTTGTTAAAGAAAGGTACCTATTGTAAAGACTAAAAAAATAAAAAAAGTTAATAATCAATCCTAGAGGCGTTACTGTTACCAGAAGAGGCCCCTGAGTAGGTTGCGCACGGCCAGAAACGTCATCATAATACGTAACGAATACATAAATATAGCGGCCAGCAAGCAGAGCCCTCAGAGTACATAGGGAAAAAAATTTCACGGAACACAAAATTATTTTGGATTTGTGGATGATAGGAGCATCGCAAGCTGCCATAACATTCCTATGGCTTCCTATGAATGACCATAGAAGTTTCATCTGTGGTTATAAATGTCGTGAAAAATAATCTTGGACCCTAAGTTGGGTGTTAGAATAAATTTTGACTTCCTTGATCATTTGGCTACCAAACTATGCACGCACTTTTTTATATTCTTTACGGCACTTTTCGCAGAGGTTTGATAAAGTCTTCCGAATGCGTCTATGGCTGTTTTTCAGTTGTGAACGACCGTAAAAACTAGTGTTACAGGTATGGCTGTTGAGAACTAAATCATTTGCCTTTTGTCTTTCTGAAATAATTTCTCAAACATTGTGCATAATCTACCTAATTCATTAGGGGATTCGTCCTTTGCTATTTTTTTAAAAATTCATTTTACTAATAGTTGTGTTCAGAAGGAGAATTGACAAATTTAATGTTTAATTCTAGGACCTATGTTAATATCGATGAGTGGCTCAAGTGTTAGCACTGATCGGACTGTATTTTCTTAGGGGAGGCATTTTTGGGCAAATTCTATATTTACTGCGAGAACTGGCATTGAAAGCATGGCATATTGTATATGATATTAGTTTGAGTGCTTTGTACAAAGCAATAACTTCTAATCCAATTTTAATAATGCTTTTTTTAGATAAAACTCTTAGTATTAATATAATTAATGATTGAAAGATGGGTATAATTAAGAATATGAAATAGGAAGATTAAGCAATGGAAGGGGAATAGTACACTAGATAGAAAGATATAAACAATTAGGAAAGGAGAAAATAACAAGATATGTTTGAGTATGGGATGTATATATTAATTAAAAAGAGATAGATATTTAATATAAATATCTAAATTAATAAAGAAGAATGTTTTTTAGTAATAATGATCTTGTAAAATTAGTATGGATAAGAGTTTGACTTCAGCTGAGAGATACAGTGGTAATCAAAAGTAATGCAACACAAAATTAAAAATCATTAAATCATGATATATTTATAAGTAGCTAACAAAATTTAAATAAAATTAATAAATATGGTACATTAATAGTACCAGTTTTATTTAATAAAATTTAATTTACTATTATTAAACACAATTTTGAGATAAATACGTAAACTTACACAAATTAGTATTGCATTTCTTTTGATCTTTTATTTGAAAAATCAAATGGTAAGTAAATACTACACAGAAGTCGCAAAA